AAACCATGTGGGTAGGGCTTCCTAACTACAGTGTTCGCTTCTCAGCCCTCTTCTTCCAGAACCAGGCTGTACTTGGTTCCTGGCACCCTGAGGAGAATTCAGTGAGTGCATTTGCCTTTTCAAAATCAGGTAAAAGACGATCAACTCCACCAAGCCAGCCTCTTACATGTCTAACAATGAACACTTCAGGATGAAACGCCTTGCGGCTGGCTGTATAAAGGTGGGCGATGAAGCATCCAAGTGGCTGCCAATTTGTTCCACCCACTCATCATTCATTCATTCAACAGGCATTAGGTTGAATCATAGGAAGTGGCTGCTTTTGCAGGTCAGAGGTCAGCAATTTCACATGGTGTTAGGAGACAATTCTCCACGGGTCTCTTGTGTTTCTGAATGTCTTGGAAGCAGAGGCACCGACTGCACTAGTCCTGAACTACATTTTCAAGGTTGTCTGTATAGACAACAGCCTTGGAAGACAGATATAGTGAGTGTCTCTGGAGCAACTGGCAGGTTTGCTTACTGTCCAGTATAGTGAAGATAATGGCTTCCTCTGCAGCAAAGAACAGGCCGGATGAACACCCATTTTAAGGGACTCAGGTAGAGTAAACTCAGGTTTCTCTCCTGTAATGCAGCTCACTGCATGTGCAGGTACCACCTGGCCCTGTTTGTGTTGCTCTGTGGGAACTGGGGCTGGGTAAACTGGCATACATGCTGATACTATGAATATTACATTGCTCTGAATAATAAAGTCTCTTGTCTCTGACCCAGGGGTCTCGTGTCTTCTGATAATATCTATGAAACTGTGTCAGGGTGATGTTAGCTTACAATTACGGTGAGATCTCCTACCTGTCACTCTACTTGACATATAGTTTACACTATTAACTGAGCACCTATCATATGCAAGGCACTGTACAAGTCACTGGTGAATACAGTGGTGAATAAGACAGGCACAGTTCCTGTGTTCATAGACCTTTCATGGTCATAGAGAATACAGGCCAACAAAATCATCAAACAAATAAAATAAAAACTAAGGTAAGTGCTTTGAACAGAATAAGATGCTGTGATAGGGAGTAATAAGAGGAAGCTACTTAGAGAGTAGGTTGGGGAGGGCCTCTCTGTTCTATGCAGATGACATCTAAGGGTGAGCTGTAACAAGCAAGTGAAGAGCTAGGCGAAGAAAATTCCAGGCAGGAGGAAGAGATTATGCAAAGGTCCTGGGGTGGAAAAGAGCAGAGCTGAATCCAATGTGGCTGGAGGGTAATGAATAAGGAAGAGTGTGACCTAAGATGAGTTTGGAGTGATCCAGGCAGGAGGAGGGGTCACCCAGGGATCTGCAGGCTACATGGATGAGCTGGATTTCATTCTGGGACCAGTGGAAACAAATGAGATTTTATACATAAGAACGGCGTTATTAAGCTTATATTTTAAGAAGTCAGTCCTACAGAGGAGATGGCGATTGCTTCTCACTGAGCATCTGGGTCTGGGTATGGTTTGGTGGAAGCTGACATCAGTAAGGCCCATGAGAAAGGACTGAGATCTTGACATAGGCTTCTCGCTGGGCTGGAAGGAGCCCTTTGTCCCTTAGCTGAGGTATTTGTCCTTAAAACATTTAGTTCCTGGACATCTTCTTTCCTCACTTCCGACAGTCTGGGTTTTGTACCCATCCTCTGTGTTCCCGTAATTCCTGTAATTGCCTTTTTCGTCCCTGTCTTCTCTCATCAAGCTCCACGAGGAAGAGAAGACTGGAATTGCTCCCTGAGGAATTCTCCATGCTTGCTACATGGTAGGTCCTTGGTAAGAAGCTGGCAAAAAGGGTGTGTGTGTGTGTGTGTGTGTGTGTGTGTGTGTGTGTGTGTGTGTGTGTGCTTGCATGTATGTAGGACAATCCAAAATAAGCAAAAACTGTAATGAGTATTTTTTCTTTCCCAAGGTCTTTCCCAAGAGTATTTAAGTTCCCCAAGGTCTTTCATTTGAAGTATTTCTACAGTTTTTGAGGGAGAAAACCATCATGCAGTACTGCTCAAATATAAAAGGATCCCACCCTTTGGTCTCCTTTTTCCAACACTCAACTAAATATCACTATCAAGGCGTTATCGTCTTTCCTTCTTGTCAACTTGGTTTAAGTTTTCTTGAGGAAACCATGGCAGGTGAGGAGAATAAGCAGGAAAGGGAACTTTGGCACAAGCGGAGGCTAGACTCCACTAAACCCGCACTGTATTTCAAGGGTGCCACTCTGTTGTCCCCCGAGACGAACCTCCCTCCTAAAAGCAGGCTGCTTCTCTCCAAAACGCATCACGAGACTTCCCAGAGTCAAAGGTGCATTTAGTGTGATGGCGGGTTGACACGCGCCGCACATTTTCCTTCTGCTTCCCATCCCAGGGGCTTTTGGTGCTCTTGGCTGTTCTTGATGAAGAATGTTCTGATAATAGATATGTGTGGGAGAGCCTCTGAACCAAATAAAACACGGTCCTTTCCCCTGCATTGCAGGCCAATCACTATCATTGTTCTATCAAGATGTCTGCCCAACTATTAGGCCGATTACCTTTGACTTTCTCTTTGAGCTACAGTCCAGACGAGAGAATTCCTCTGGGGAGAACTGCTATTCCCACCTTGGGCTGGCAGGTGAGTGAGGATAATGGCCTGGGGGAAGGGCATGTCACTAATGTCACTAACTCAATGACTGAGTCTATGTGGATAAAGGAGACGGGGCAGAAGCCATGATTAAACTTGCTGTGCAGGG